ATCCTAATTTTAAAAACTACATTTCCCGCTGACGTAAAAAGCCAGACAGCTGGGAAATGTAGGCTACCAGCATGCCTCCGTGTGGCAAATTAGTTTCACTATCTTTCTTAATACGCTTTAACGTCTGCTAGCAGTACTTGTCATCTGCATGACAGCAAATACAGCTAAGAATCGCGGAACCGAACGCCATTCGCGTTAAATTAGATGGAAAACGCATAAAACTCACTTTTTGCTGAGTTTATCGCCGTCCGCCGCTGTTACATCAGCCATGATGGTCCTGGTTTTGCGTGTTGAAGGATCTGCGCATGCGCACAAGCACTTGAAAGCCATCAAACCGGGGCGTTCAGAGACCGTCGGAAGTTTGGGGGCAGACGTAAAAGACGGTGTCTCAATGGAATTAGTGGAAATAGAATGGTTAACTGTTATCACTTCAGTTTTTGAATCATAATTTCATTAATACATACATGGCAATGGCGAGTGATGAAAAAAGCGGAAGGGGCGTGGCCTGGACGGGGGCGTGGCCTGGACGGGGGCGTGGTTATTTACAAAAGTGGCACTAAACATGCTGAAGATGAAGTGTATTAAATTTACACAGTTTTAAAATTGAACAGAAAAAAATCCCAAGATCGCCACTATTCTTTCAAGTGAAAATTTGTGCAATTTTGCCTATGCATTCCTGGTGAGCACCAATATGTAACTCCAAATTTGCTGCTCAAAATCAAAACTGAAAAAGTAAACACATTCCCTGCCATATTTAAGATTTGTTCATTCAGTTTTTGAATCATAATTTCATTAATATATTTGAACAAAAGAAAAAGACTCAGACCCATGTATGAGTCTGCCAAAATCACAATAAAGTGCCTAGTTTGGGGTCGAATAAGAATTCCACAGTACCTGTACCGTATTATAAATTGAAATTCGAGGCTCCTGAGCCAGATCCGGCGGGCCACTTCATTTTGCGTGGCCCACGGAAGCAAATCTTGTGCCTTAACTTCCATTACTCTTGCTAAAATGTCAACCAAAATTTCTAAATGTAAAGTTTGCAAACAGTTTTTGCAAACATTTTTTTTACCATGCCCCTTTCTACACTAACTTGACAAATAGTTGATGTTTTCAGTGTCTTTCATCAGGGGAGGCTGACACAGTACCTAGTTGCAGAGTAGATCATTTGTTATGTTCGTCATCGTTCATAATTTTCAACGTGTGTAGTTGAATGTTAGTTTGTCCATACTGTCATAGTGAAATATCAATTGACAAAAAAAAACCAAACAAAAAAAACGAATCCATCCATTAGCCCAGCCGCAAATTTTAAATGTATTTGTTAAACAGTACACAGTCAGCTTCACTCAGGGGCGTCAAACTCATTTTTTCGCAGGCCAATTCGGAGTTACATCTTCCCTTGTAGGGTTGCTACAACAGCGAAAACGAATACGTTTAATCATCTCACCATATTACTTGTACACAACAAATTCACGGATTACATGTTTTGAAATCAGTCAACTATTTGTTTGTTGTTTTTTCAATAATTGTTCAAGTGAGTGTAAACGGCGTAACAAAATTACTGCAAAATCTCAACGTTATTTATTACACATGACAATTTGAAATTTCGGTAGAGACTTTAGTAAGGGTGATGGAAATTGGCAGACATGATTTGCTTTCGCGGGCCACATAAAATGACGTGGTGGACCAGATCTGGCCACCGAGCCTTGAGTTTGACACCTGTGGGCCTTAGCTGAATCATGTTGCCAAATGTATGTACCTTGTACTCCTAAAATGTCAATTTTGCCAAAATGTCAACCCTGTTATGGTCCATCCAGTCATCAAGTCAATATATTTCGCTGTTTGTACTGTATGTAGATTGTCATTTTGCAGTTAATTTACAAAATAAGTGTGGGAGCGTGACCAATTTACATTTCTAACATTTTCTACTTAATACAAATAGTAATGAGTTCAAAGAGAAAATCCCATCAAGATTTTTTTTCTTACAGTGTGTGGGGTGGTTTGAAATTGAATTCTCAAACGCACCTTATGGTGATACTTTTTTTTACTGAAATCCAAACAAAAAATAATGTAAACTTTTTTCCACTAATATCCAAATCATAGAAACTTATCTTTTGTATTTTTCTTTTTAACTTGCACCAGTATATTCAATAAAAATGCATTTAAAAAACTGAATAAGAAGCTTCAGAATACAAATATCCATCTTGTATATGTTTAATATAGATAGCAGCAAGTTTACAGAAAAAATGAATCCCAACAAAGTTTTTTTTTGGGGGGGAATATGTGACAGTTGTTCTCATAGTGTGAAACCTCAAAGAAAAATTCACTTTCCATTTGCTGGATTATAAAACACGAACTGGAGGAGTGCTTCACTTGTGCTGGGAGACTTTAAAGGTGAAACTGGTAGATGCAGCATAAAATTTTTCAGAGGCATTTTGCCCCACAAGATTTAACAATGAAATGTGATTATCAGTAGCGTCCCACCGACCCTCCCGAAGAATTAAAAATGAAATGTGATTAATCTAGTGTGCTGATTTTTACTGGTCCAAGTACCTCAAAGACACAAAGGCATCAAACAGTTTAGGCAATCAAGCAAACCGCCAGAGAAAAAGCTCAACAAGCTTAAACAATGAGATGAAAAAACAATTTTGGTTCCCGTCGTTGTTAAAAACTAAGCGGCTACATAGAAAAATATATATTCAAAAACGTAACGGCTCAACATTTACAGTTTGGTTGCATAGCAGTTTCAGAAAACACATGCATCCATGTCTACACAAACGCATTGGATATTTTAGTACAAATCTGTTAGATGTATGACAGGCATTTCTATCCGTCACATCCCTGCTGTAGAGCATTACTAGCACATTTAAAGTGTCTTGGCTTGCACCGTTACATCGCTGGCAAGTAAGATGGGTGTAAAATATAGTCTCTGACATGCACATATATTTACAGTACGGTATCAAGCAATGGTGCCTTGTGATACGAGTTTCATTCGTTCTGTGACAACGCTTGTAACTAAAAACACTCAAGTCATCTTTTAGCCCTCCATAATAGTCGTACTTTACACAAATGGAAATGGTTACATAATTAAATTGAATTAAACAGTTTTTGTCACACTGTAGCGCGTGAGTGGCTGCCTTTCCAGCAGCTCCTATATTTTGTTGTTCTACTTCTTCCATTCATAACTTTGCTGCTGTGAATTGGGAATTTCTCTATTGCGAGACTAATAAAGGTTTTTCTTATCTCTTATCTTATCTTATCAATTGAATAGTCATTGTGCTTCGTGTCTTGACCACTTGGAGGCAGTATAGTACAGACAGAATGAGCTACTGTTTATTGAGCTATCCTTTTAGCTCATCAGTAGAGCAGTACTGTCATATTAGTCTCTTTGCAGAGGATAAAGAATTTGACCACAAGTACTTCCTGTCTTTATTTAGCAGTAACATTAAGATAGAGGACTAATAGGCTAATCTGTGGGGGTGTTTTGAAAAAACAAGGTGTAATTCTGTTTCATGTTTAGTTTGAGAGTAAACTGGAAGGGGCAAACTCAGGTTGGAGTCTGTTTTTTTTAAGACTTGTTCTTTATTTGCCCAAGTGCTGCTTACTGTGAAGTGAGTCGAGTTCATCTCATATCTCAAGGCACCGCTCAATTTGGAGTTATAGTTTGAAGAGATTTGAGCAAGCTATAAGTAGTCAACCTGGTAAAATAAATGCTTGTTCTATTGAAAAAAATGTATCAAAGAACTTCAATCATTTCTCCCACATATAAAAGATGGACCTCCTCAGCATGCACTCTATGCCTCTTGAGATCAGTGTGAGGCTTGCAACCATTCTGTACACTCACGAGTATTCACGCTACGCTGACATCTCATCAGTTTGTTATTAGTCATAATACTGAAAGTTGTTGTTCCTATTTATAAGGATAATCTGTGAAGTTTGGTGCCATTTGCTCCAAAAAGTTTGGAGTGTTACATTTTTTCCAAAACTCACCAGAGTTGTAGTTTCACACAGACATGAAAAATCATTTTTGTGTCATACATGTTTCCAATTGAGGACAGTAGATGTGGGCTTCAAACAACAATAGATTACCATCGGTCACAGTTCAAAAGATCGAAACCCAACTACACAAATAAATACATGCACCAAACTACTGTACGAAACCAATAACAAAAAGCCTTACTGGAGAAAAAAGGAAAAACAACCATAAATATTAAACACTAGAGATCTTCAGTTTCACAAGTTTAAGGAGAGCCAATGACACGTCGCTTTCAGATGTTCTTTGGGAGTAATGTCCCACTGAAAACAGCTCTGCTCAATGCAGCATACTGTCACATCATGAATCACATTAGTCAAGGTTACACTGTACTACTACTTCTACTATCATCCAAATAGCTCTTTTTTGGCAGGTGGATAATTTCAATTTAGTAGGCAACACAGAAATTCTACAAAACTGCACATGAAAACAAGAAAAGTGAACTTTTAAGTATTTTGTCAGAGACCAGCCCCTGAAACAGCGGGATAAAAATGTCAGAAACAAACAAACAAACAAACAAACAAACAAACAAGCAAACAAAAAAACTGAGAAGAAATGTGTTGCTATTTGATTTTTAGATATGTAGATAGAAAAGATAGAAAGAAAAAAGATATGCAAGCAAACAGGCCATAAAACTGACCCGTCATCAGCATTGACACAAAGCCGGCCAATGCTAGCAAGAACTACCCAAGAATGAATAAAGAATGCTAATACACACAAACTGCCGTTTATCATTCAATAAATCCATTACATTTGTAAAGTTTCAAGGCCATGCGTAAAATATCCCAATCAAGAATGATAAAGGAATCTTTCAGTAGATAAGGTATACATTTTTTTTTTTAAAAAGTCGATACACCTCTGTTCAAATGCCAAGTTTTTGTGATACAGGGAACAAAATAAATAATTTCAAAATATTTTCCACCGTTAATGTGACCTCTAATCTGTAAAACTAGATTGATTAAAAAAAAAAAACTTTTTGGCATGGGAAGTACAAATAACAGCTGAAATAATGTGCTCACCTGAGTGTAAACATCCTCTTATAACTGGGATGTTCAAAATGAATCAATCACATTCAACTCAGCACCAGTCAGCACAAACATTCACCATTTAAGGTTAACATTTAACACCAAATAAAAACCTGTGTTTCTAGTAGGCTTTTCCTGACATTTTTTTTTTTTTTTGCTGGTTAGTAGAATACTGAAGATTTTGTATTATTGCATTTTGTATGTGATTTTTAACTGCTCATAATTCCTTCCACCTTGTATAAGGCCCAAGTTCCATCTGAAAAGTTTTAGGCCACATTAATGGTGGGAAAAGCTTTACAATGATTTATCACAGTCTCATTTTATATGTCACAAAAAAATGGATTTGTATTTGAACTGGGGTGTGTAAGACTTTTTATATCCACTGTATGTAACACACATTCTCTGGAGTGAAACAGTGGCTCAGGTAGCAATAATTTTGTCCCAATTCTCACCTGATTAGAGCCAAACAAACTGCCCGAGACAGCTTTGTCCACTTATTTTAAAACTTAAAAGCATGCTGAACGGAACAGCCTGGAGTGTTGAAATTCACGTAGTGGCGTATGCGTGCTCCACACAAATTGCGCCTGAAACATTCACTCCTAGAACTGGATTGCCTTAATGACAAACAGCATGAATTTCCTTTCAGAAGCGACAGCAAAGCAAACATTCCTTCCTGGTCAAGGCAAACTTCTGAACAACAATGATACAACAACCCTTGGTTACGCGTACCTGACGCAGAGTTGAGTCCATCCATGGAACTCTAAAGGACAAATGACACAATATTGAACTAGTTTACATTCCGTTATTTGTATTAAGTAGACCCAGTCTCATAAAAATATTATACAAAACCTTTTGGAACACTTTTTCTTTAAAAGTTCCTTACGTACCTCTACTTCACTGCTATCTTTTACTAATGATGTTACATTTCAAGATGTGATAATATAAACAAATGATTCCTATAAAAACTTTGTATGGGTCGTTTTACCCATCTTGAAAAACGGGTAATTTAATCAAAGTAACTATAAATCATTTTTCCTTCAAGTCACCATTGTATTCCACTAGATATCATTCAAATGATTTTCCTCTAGTCCAAAATACAAATCAATTACAGCGTAATTAGTGCACTTGCTTGACTTTGTTTTATCAACCCTCCTGCAGCAAAAGTTAAGTCGAAAACAAATTAAAGCAGGATTTACAGTATTTGGCTAATGCTGAGATCTCAAGTAACTCCTACAAAGGCACAAACGTATCGACAATGTTATTTCATTAAATATGATATAGAATAGTCTACCGATTTCCTCTCATAACACTTTCTCTGCTCCTTTCAACCACATGACCGCCATATTACATTCATAGCACACTCTGCTCAAACTTTCCTTCCACTTCTACTGCGCCGTGCTGGACAGCTATTTTTCTCTGTCTATATACAGTCAATCTATATCACTCAAATCTAGTTCACATAGCGATGTTTTCAAAGAGTTGTCTTAAAAAAATAATTCGGGGCCACCGATGAAATCAAATGAGCAGAACACAATCTATGGCCCATTTCCATCTCCAATCATCTCATAATATTTTGACCCCTCGTGCACATTTGATAATATAGGAAGAAAGAAATGGAAAAAAAATCCACAAATCTTTCCGAAAATTAGAAAGAACGGGTTATGCCGTTGCCCGGCTCTTGGCTGACCAGCAGGTTATCAATTTTCTCCATGCTCCGCGAGGCTTTCAAGCCGCTCTGCGCCGTCACTGACTGTGACGGTGACTGGTTGAAGAGCGACTGAATGCAGGCCTCACTCTCTCTTTGGTTTTGACCAGACTGGCTGATGGCAATGAGATGGTCAGACAGTGTATTTCCTGGTGCGCTCATCAGCTGACCACATTCTGCGGGAGTGGAGAAAACAAAAGGTCGATCAGGTTTATTGAAGATACTACTAACAATAGGTATGGGAATTGATAAGAATTTCATGATTCCAATTCCATTATCGATACCGCTTGTCTGTCGGATTCATAAGTGGTTCTTTTATTGATTCTCATTGGGTGACAGGGTGCAATAAAAATGAATCGCACTGCAAAATGAGGCGCTTGAAGCGTCCTCACCAGATGCAGAGTGCTGGTTCTCTGTCTCTTTACTGTTTATTTATTTATTTTCAACAATGCACAAAATAGGAATTGATGAGCGGAATTGTCAGGAAAGCAAAAAACAAACAAACAAATCAAAGGAATCAAATTGGGACCCGTCCTAAAAAAATTAAACAGTTATCGATTCCCACCCCTCGCGGTCTATCAATACCTACTTGGAAATGATATCCCACTTACACTGTCACAGTAACTAACAAAGGCATGAAAAGTGTGAAAACCAAAACTATTAATGCTTCATTTTGTTAAAAATAGCATGTTTTATGTGCCAAAAACAGCCCGCTGAGGTGGTTTGGGCATCTGTTTTGAATGATTTTTCGATCTGGACATTTTGGGCTCTCTGTTCTTGGCAGGAAGCTGTTTATTAGAAGATAAGGAGCAGCTTTCTTGAAGAAAGTACAACACGCCCAAATGAATTGCTGTTTTTCACTTTCGTAATCCACATTGAATTGAGGCTGTGTTGCTGCGTGCCTGTTGTGCCCTCACCCACTCAAAGTTATATCTGTAGCCACCTTCAGAGTGCAGCATAAACTGACCCAACTGTACGGCTTGGTCGAGGAAAGGCTTTATTTTAAGAAAGTTGCTCAACCCTTTTTTTTAAAATGTGAGGATGAACCAGTTAATCTAAAGTTTGTTCTATTTTGGATTACTAAGTGGTTAGAAAAGGTTAGAACGGTTTTAAATATGGCGATCAAATCGCTCACCATTTTGAATTCCAAAAAGGAAGAGTTCAGATTCTTGAGCCTGGCTGGGCTGACCGATGGTCCCACCAACTGCAGATTGGAATAGAGTCCCTGGCTGCTGAACAGGAGATGAAGTGGTTGTTTGGAGGCTCGCCACGCCATTCGGTGAAGCAAACATGGCTGACTGTGCGAGCTCCTGAGACAATCCGCCTTGCAGAGAGGCCATGTTCGGCGGACGCATGAAGAGCCCCACAGACCGCTCTTGCCCATTGTTTGTGGTGTTTCCAAGTTGCATTGGTTGCTGAGCCTGATATAATACTTGCTGGCGTGTGTCATTAGGGTTACCTAAGGCCATGGGCTCGGGGCGGACTTGTTGGTTTACCGTCACCATGCTGGCCTGTGAGAAAAGCAGCGAAGCGTTCTCGGGCTCTCGGGAAACTAGACTACTGCTGGTCAAAGGAGGCATCTGCCCCTGATTGCTGAAGAGGATGTTGGATGTCTGGTCTGTGGTCGGCAGGGGGTTGTTACAGAATAGTAGCCCAGCTGGCTGTTGTTGAGCTGGAGGCAGCGCATTTGCAGGTGGATGCTGAGAGAGGTTCTGAAACAAACAATGCTGTTGACTTGGCTGAGCGAGGGGCTGAGGCTGGGAAGGCTGCTGTTGCTCCATCGGTGCTCCTTGCTGAATGGGAGAGAGCTGAGTCTGAGCCTGAGCCTGAAACACCGATTGTTGTTCGGGGGCAGGTGTTTGGAGAGCACTGAGGAAGGCCAATTGCTGCTGTTGGCTACTATTGGTCGGAAGCTGACCTGAAAGAGACGTCTGGGGGAGGAAAAGAATAGGGGTTGAAGGTTGCTGGTCAGGGGAGGGCAAAACTGTCATGGGGTTTTGGAAGAGCACGGCCTGCACCTGCTCTGGAGTGTGAGAGGCGTTCTGGCTATGAAACAGACCTCCCTGGGGATCATGCGCTTCAGCCAAGGGACTGGGATTGTGGAACGCTGGTGGTGAGGAGTGTGAGGGTGTTTGCTGGAGGAAGTTGGTCTGAATAGAGAGCAGATCAGTGGTCTGCTGAAAGAGAGACGTTTGTTGTTGCTGTTGCTGCTGCTGCTGCTGCTGAGCCTGTTGGAAAAGCGATCCCTGGTTTGGCAGAGCACCTTGTGAGGAGCCCTGCTGCTCCACATTCACACACTGCATTTGAATTTGTGATTGGAATATCTGTTGCAGATTCTCCAGCACCTGCTGCTGCTGCTGCAGTTGCTGCTGATGAATTTGCTGCTGTTGCTGCTGAAGTTGCTGGTTTTGGATCTGCTGGTGTTGCATATGGTGCTGTTGGTTGGCCATTGAGTTGTCTGACTGAAGTGGCAAACCAAACGCTTCAGGCTTAAGCTGTCTTACTGCCTCCTCTAACTGGGCCACTTCGTCTGAAGGGAACATGGGCAGCTGAGGTCCAGGATCACCACATGGCCTCACCGTAGACCCAGAGCTGCTGACTTGCCTCTCCTGTCCAAGACCCACTATTGGCTGGATTGTAGTTAGGGCCTCTGTGTTGGTAAAAACTGGGGCCTGGCTCTTGTCGGGGTCGCCTGAGGACTGTGGTAATGAGTTGGAAAATTCTCTGTTGTTATTTAGATGGCCCGCAGACATTTCTGGGTTCTGCTGGGCTGGACAGAGATCCAGTGTCTGCTGGCAGAACCAATGACAAGTTAAAACATTGATGTAATTCATTGTTTGTAAGTAATACATTAAGAAAACAAAAAAATCTGGTCACTAGGTTATAATCAATTACCTTGAACACCCCAGTGGTTTGGAGGTTGTTGGTGACCTCCATTGGCATGACTTCTTCTTTCTTGACTTGAGGCAACATACAGGGCCTCAGAACTGTAACAAGATGTATGGAAGGCTTAACCACCAATCGGTACATATTTACTGGTAGTTGTTCTTAAAATAAACATCCGGGTTGAAACGCAGTCCTTAATTCAAATATCCCTTGAGCGATACAATTTAAACTAAACACACAAAAAAGACGGTTTGAGCTGCTGTTATGCATAACCTTATGAGACCGCCACATGAATGTGTACACAAAAGATGAGTTGCATTCATTCTTTATGCCGACTGCCTGTTTTTAATGTGACGGGACCTCCACAGCAGCCATCATCACAGAGGACCATCAGCCCCATAGCTGTTTGTTCCCATATTCACAGTCACCCGCACACTGAGCTATGTAACTGAAAGCGACTGAAGTTGACCATCACAAAAGAGATTACACTTGGCGATACCAAGCGAGTGATCATCACACATGGGCCGACACACTACGACAGAAAAACTGTGACCCAGTATCAGGTTTGGAGGCTCCACGTACAACATTCTGTCCTGAATTATTTTTTTATTGAACCAAAACAACATGGCACCATTGTCAACAGAGAAGCTTTCTTTGGCCACAATGTGACACAGGATTTTGTTCAGTCAACTTTTCCGTAGTTAGAAGCGGACGTTTTCAACTCAGGATGCGTTTGGAACTTCACTCTGATGTCCTAACACCACTCTGAGAGTGCTTGTGTCGTTTCAGGCAGAGAGTGGCCTCCTCCCACGAATTTCCAAGCACAGCGTATGTTATAAATGAAACAGCAGCTCGTGCTTGTACTGTTTCCATCAGTACCGACTGAAGCACTGGGCTCTGGCACTCCTTTTTTGGGGCACTCTGAATAACCAAACGTTTGGCATGAAGCATTTCACAGATTTTAGTGTAATTATAATAGAGTACAGTAGTTTTTTTTTTACAGGCCCCGTGGCATGTATTATATTAAAATTAGTATATTAAAATTAGTTTTTTTTGTCTTATTGTTAGCAGTAGTAAACTGTGACTAACATTTGATCATAAAATGAGTGAACACAGAAAGAACCTTTACTTTTATCGTCAAAGGGACATGTCTTCACTGGAGATGATGTCTCTTTCTTCACAAAAACTTCAGTGTTTCCTGCAAGACAATGCAGTCACACATTTACACATGACTAGGAACTTGCACTGCGAGCTCGAAAGAGATGATGACCTTTTCGGCTCACCCTTAATGAAGTGAGACGATTGTACTTCATAAGAAAGAGACACAAACCAACCTGCGTCTGGGTTGTAAGTAAACTGTTGAACATCATGGGATCTGCCAGCGACGGTGACCACATAGATCCCCACACACACAGCAGAGGTGATGCTTTGGTTCTGGTAAGGTGGAACCTTCACGATCAAATGATTCTTTGGGCATAACATGAAGTCAAGAAGAACAAAAAATGAACGGATCAATAAATACATGAGTAACTTTAATTCTACCTACATTCATACAGTAAGTACATCACCGGATTGATATTCTCTATAAACACCTTCTTGATATTCTGTTTGAACAGTAAAGCTAGTCATTTGTACAATACCTTAAGATGAAATTGCTTTCCAGGAAGGGAACAAAGTAGGGCTGAACGATTTCAGGAAAAAAATTTGAATTGAGATTTTGACATTGCGACTGTAATTCAGAGCTGATTGGTGTGCGTGACTATTCATGAGTAGCATGCCACTTCCGATTGGTGAGCGTGGCTTGTTTGAGATTTTAGTACAAACAACTGATTCTGGGTCAGCTATGAGTGCGAAAAAAAAAAAAGAGATTTCAATTAAAATTATTCACACCTAGTGTAGAGCATGTTTTTAACAACCAGGAAATATTTTTAAGGTTAGTCAGGAAGTCTGAGGAAATCCTTTATTGTCATACCACACAATCCACTTGAAATCAGCCAATGCAGGACCACTTACTCATCGCTGTGTTTTATTCGAAGCCTCAGAGCAACAATTGAACTTCATTGATGGTTTCCTGCTATTGCTGCTCTTATTTTAACATTCAAAATGACTAATTTCATCAGATAAAATTTACTTCAAGCAGCTTTCTGTTGCATTTTATTTAAAAAAGGCCAAATAACTGGAAAAATGCTCTGAACTGGGAATGCAATGACTTAGTATAAAATGTCGTGTTACCTGTAAACTGTTCACCCCAAGTTTGAGTGAAAGGACTCTCTTACAACTTAATGATTTGATTCCAATTTAGCGGTCTACGATTCAATTGCAGATTATTGGTGCATTTTGAATGATTAAAAACCATTTGTCATGATCTAAATGTGCTTGATGAAAGTAAAGTACAGATACATTTACTTGCATTAGCTTTGAGCAAAACAAAACGTAAGCTATGCAGAAATTTTTGCCAGTAAATATTTCTCAACATTGTAGGAAGTTGAACAGATGAATATTCGAATTAGGCTCTATCAGCCCTATCACACAAAATCAAGTCACACATCAATAAAAGTGAGTGTGTACCATCGATCCGATTCCTTTGATTGCTTTGTCTGGCTAAAAATAGTTGTCCTTTTTATCACGCGTGTTAATGTTTGTTAGCTTTAAAAACGATGTTGATCTCACTAGGATTAGCTTGTTAAATAAAAGCTGTTTCGCGGTGCATAGCTAAAGATTCATACATTTTGTTCCTTTGGACCGCTTTGTTTACAAGAGCAAAGGTCAAAATTGTCACACCTCCGAGACTGCGTATTTAGGTCACGATACAAAGAGACCACTCAAACCTTTGAACCATGCAGCAGCCATATAAGATGATTACATCTAAATCACCACACAAATCTCAAGTGGCTTTGACTTAGCTTATTAATGGCCGCCACAAATCACTTGCCTCAAATAAAACGAGGAAAATGAAATCTAACCTGGTGAAACAATTCCATATCAATTTCCGCCTCCGTCTTCCACGAGGTTTCATCTGAAAAAGAAGATAGTTCTTGAATTGGAAATGTTGTCAGAATGCAATCCGAATCTAGTTTCATTTAAAAACAAGGTGTCGTTTCTTACCAGAGACATTCTCTTGAAATATGACTTTCGCGTCTTTGAGAAAATTCTTGCCAATGATGAAGAGCTCTTCTCCGCCCCTCACTGAGCAACTGTGCAGTGATTTCTTCAGAATCTCTGGTACTCCAGCCGGCTGAGCTGTTGACAGAGCGGGTATAACAATACTAAATTTCTGAGAATCAAACTCAGCCTGTGCGGCACAAAATTTGCTGATAACACCTCCCTGCCTAAACATTGCATTTACATTTTTATTATTCAAGCTGCATAACTTATGTTGATGTGCCAAAACAAGCACAGTGAAATGTGAATTTAAAAGCTTGTTTCTGTGTTTATTTTCAAAGTATTTATTCAGTGAAAATTCAGTGGAAACGTGAATATTTTTTTTGCAAGTCAATTTACAGTGTGTTGCAGTGTTTCTGCACATGCCTTAAAATTTGAAGTTAGCGGCCACCGTGCACAGAGTTAAAAAAAAAAAAAAAGGTTGAAGCCAGTTTGTCAAGCATGATTTATTGATGACAAAATTAAGCCAAATATAGACGCGCCAGTTTACCTTTCCTCAAACCGTATAGTACAGTTTGAGAGGGATTGCACTGTACGGTAAACCTGTTAAAAAGGAATAGATAAGATTTCATGTTGACATACCGCAGAGCTTAAACAATGGTTCGTTCTCAAAGCAGATGTTTTAACATGCTAGATGCAAAAAAAAAAAATTATATATAATATTCAAAACATTTCATAAACCCTTTTTATTACTGAAACATATATGTGCTGTACATCTGTGCATTCATGCACAGCAATTACTGTTTGTGAACAGATACCGTACTCCCGCGTGGTGGATCATTGTGAATGGCATCACACTTCTATTGTGATGTCTTTCCTTTTATTCCTCCCATGTCAGTTCTGCCAAATTAACTTTCCTCCGGCCGTAACGTCTTTCCTGTTTAGAAAGCCCCCCCACATCCTTACACTGTTTGCATGATCACACATGACACAATGGAAGGATTTTACACAATGTCTTCTGAAGCTTACATCAAAAAATACAGAACCTTCTGTTCAGACCTAAGACCGCATTAAACTTTTGACGGGGCTTCACCAAGTAAAGACAAGAAAAGACGTGAGGCGCTAAACTATTTTGTGTGACATTTACATATCAACCTTCATTATGTTCTATCCACAAAGAATGAAAAGGAACAGCTTCACTTACTGCAAAGTATGGAAGATGAAAGCGTTTGGAGTGTGAGCACTGAACCATCTGGACGTGGGATGTTGACCCGAAACACAAGCCGAGCACGCGTACTCTTCTTCTTTGACCCTGCCACGCCGATGCGAGACTCCACATCGGCATTTCGGAGTTTCAGGATGCCAACACAATCCACACTGCAGAAAGACTCAGTGTCATCTTGGGGAAAGTATGCAGCTTCAGTAAAAACATTTAGAAATAGAACCGTTTGATTGTTGATGAAATTGCAAATAATGTGCTTTGAGCTCGACCAATGTGTACTTTTGGAGGCAGTTAACAATTCCAGTGTTTGGCAGAATTTATTTATTTTTTTATAATTAATCTGTGGATTATTGAAAAAATATATAGAAATATAATGAATACATTTTTTTTTTGTGGTCCTTTAACGCTTACAACAACAAAGCTATTAGTTACAGGCAGAAACTTTAGAATATTCTGTCGTTTATCCATCCATTTTCTGAACTGCTTTATCCTCACAAAGGTCGCAGGGCGTGCTGGAGCCTATCCAAGCTGTCTTCGGGCAGTAGGCGGGGGACACCCTGAACCGGTTGCTAGCCAGTCTTTAGTAATTTTTTTTATTTTTTTTTATTTTACAACAGAGGAATTTTCAAGCACAAAAACATGCCAAAAAGCATGAACTGTTTAGTTAAAGTGTGAGATTTAGGCCATAAATGTACGCTGTACAAAAGCAACATCATGAGTGAAGTTACTAACAAAATAATTTATGCACAATACACTTCTATTCCATAATTTTCTTTGCCATGAAGTGAGAACTTCAAGGGGTTTGACAATAAAACCCATAAGAGTCCTATTTTGTGCACACGACTGCTCAGCGTGCTCACCCAAACAACAAAGTACATACGCTAAGGTCATGTTGGTGCTTGGGTCCAAGGGGACTTCAATGACAGTTGTGCCCCCAATGTCCACCTCTTTGCAGGCTGTGGTATTGCGGCCGGTCACTCTGCAAGCTTGGTAAAATCCATGGGGCCTCACCCGCTCAGCATCGATTCCCACAAAAACTTGCAATATGACTGGCTCATTCACACCCTCCAGCTGTAACACACATGTAATACAACAATTTGCAAATACAGTACAAATGCATGCAAATGCATTTATATTTGCAAATTGTGTGTACAGTTATATTGAGTTTTTGCCGAGGTTTAAATCCTCAAAAACAGCATCTCTTTGCCTTGCAAATGATGCATCGCCATGGCAACAGCGTGCAACAAAATATGTTTTCAGTAAGATTGACCTTTACAGTAGGGAAGCCCTGCTGAGTGCGGTCTTTCACAGACCCTCTGCTGCCCTCCGTCAGATAGCGAGCCCGGTGCTGTGGCTCAGGCTGAACAAGGATCTTCAGCTCCTTCTGTTCACTCTTAGATGGGTATTGCATGGAAAGAACTCCTTTTTGGTGAGGCGCCCGAGCATTTTCTTGTGGACTGTGGAAGAAAACGGAAAGAAAGGTTGACAGAGGCCCACAAGTTCTTCACTATTTCCTCTGGCCTCTTGTTTAATATCTTAACATTTAAAGGAGAACACAACATGCAACCTCTTATCCTCACGAGGGTCACAGCAAGTCATGAATCAGATTACAACAATAAGGCAAACAAATTTGTGGCTTAATCACTCCGACTTTTCATATTTCATGAAACAATGATGTGTAAACATGTGGGCTACACGTTTTAAGCACTGTATGAACCGAGAAACTAAATAAGGAAGTAAATAAAATATTCATGGATAAAGAATAAAGCCTAGCGAGGAAAATTGTATTCTACTATACTTTACAATGTCACATTGAACTTAATTTCTTCGCCCAAATCGGGCCTACTTTTTTTTCTTGCGACTCAGACTCATGCACTCCAAAGATCAGCTGATTGCGGTCCGGACAATGGCCAAGGCTGACAACATTGCCTTTGTTTTCTCACCAGAATTTCCTACAGGATCAATAAAGTATCTACCTACCTAAAAACAATCATTGGTCAAAGTGCTCCACAGTTGCCATAGTTCACTAAGCAATATTGACGCCTCTAATCAAGCGAGTGAATTGTATCTGTTTATTTAATCGGCACTGCTTATCCTTAGCCTTTGAGAGAGCCACTGTAATTCACAGTTGGCAACAGTAGTTAGTTCCTACTGTTTATGGTTGTGTTTCAGTCACTGGGTGCATCACTGAATAACTTTAGTGAGAGCACGGATGAGTTTGGGGGGCCTTCTCCTCACGATCTTGGCCACGGTGTTGTTGTCACCGACACCACATTGACGGTGGTACAAACCTTCCTTTTTGTGCAGTCTTGTTGTCCGTGCCGAGCTGGGAAAAGACAAAGTGTGGTGCTTTGGCACTGTCCGCATCAAAAACATCCATGCTGGCTTCATTGGTAAGCAAAGATTTGAGCCCCGGCCTTTGTCGTGGGGTTCGTTTCCGTGACTTTCGTGGCACCTCTGTGTTGTCGTTGTAGGAGGTTGTGCTCATGATACTGAAGTTGGAGAGAGAGTCTTCCATCCAGATGCTGTTGCTGTGCTCCGAGTCCAATGATGTTTCAGCTTGACAGGACATGTGACTATCGCTAAGTAAGTCTTGCGGAGGCGGAGAAATGTTCAGTTCGGTGCGGCGCTTCGGGGGCATCATGTGTTGATGGGGCTGATCTTCCTGGGATGTCGCACCTAAACCTCCTCCACCCTCAGCGGCGGGCAGGCAATGACCACCGCCATTGCCGTTGGCACTCCCACCTTCAGCACCAAGGCTCTCTGGTACAGCTCTGCAAGTTCTGATGTCTTCTGGGTCGACATTGCCACAGTGTGCAGGGTCACTGGCTGAAGAACTGCATTGTTGGGTCGAACTGGAAGAGGTGGAAAAAGCACTGCGGGGGCCATCCATGGTCATAGAGCAGGGCATGCCATCTACGGTGCAAATAATTAGAAATTAATGTCATTTCATGTAATGCTGCCAATTTGTTCCATTTCAGAACTTAAATGCTCATCTTTGTACTGCGGTGCCTTGAGATACGAGTGACTTGATTTGCAAGTTTTTCAGACAAGAGCCATCATTTGATAGATTATTTATTTATTTACTTTTTGCTTTGAAAGGTGGTAATAAACTCACATGGTTTTTTAGCAATAAGCAGCAGTTTGGCCAGGAGTTAAAAAAAAAAAAAAATCAAAACAGAGGCTTCAAATTGTTTAATGGCACTCAAAAGAATACAATATTTTGGGTACGAAAAACAAACACATGGACTTTAACCCTTAAAGCAACAGATTAAACACAAATGGTGCAGCAACGTGAAGATGAACAATGAGTTCTCAGTCATGTATTCTTTACCCCTGTGTAGAACAATTAATATTAGTGCTGTACTGATGAGCTGGGAGAGGAGTTGACGTGACTCAAGGAAGGAATTTTTGTTTTTTTTGGTGGTGTAAGGCTCGAATAATTAATGGGATTTTCATTCATTTCAAGGAGAAAAGATTATTTCAGACCGGCATGGTCACGGGACAAGTTAAACTTGTATCACAAGGCACCACTGTAGCTTATACGCAATCTTCTTTGATATATCTTTTTTTTTTTTTTTTTCAAACTAGTGGAGGGTCTCCCCTTTCAGGTGGCTCTTTTATATATATTGTGATGACTTCTGTTGATTGTATCCTTTGATGTAATTAACTGGAAGAATTTTTGATCATCTGCTATTCTAAATAACTTTCCAACAACATTCATATTTGAATCCACATTCTACAGTGTACATGTTCAATAAAAAATGTGTTTTTTAATTTTTGAAATAATGTCTGATTCAAATACAACTAATTTTTCAATTGCAAGACATAATTGCATTATCAGGTACAGTGATACCTCCGCTGACGAACGCTTAAGCTCACGAACTTTTCGCCTCAAGAACATTAAATTTGCGAGCATATCGTCTCTGCTGACAAACTAGTTTTCGGAGGACGAACCAAACCATGCGGTCGAACAGCGCCACGGTGGCGGCCACGAGAAGCTGACGCACGCTCACGGCGTCCCATTTCGTCACCTCCTTTCTTTGAGTGCGGACGTGGTTTGTGTTTGATAGACATTTTGGACCATATTGAGTGTACTTTTGCTATTATGGGACCGAAAAAGACCCCAGCACAGGCTAGTGTTAAGCCTAAGAAGACATTAAAGAAAATTACGATCGAGCAGAAGAAGGAGATCATTGAAAAAGACGAACGAGGTGTGCGTTTGTGTGACTTAGCGTCCCAGTACCAGTACGCTAAGTCTACCATTGCTACCATCCTTAAGATGGAAAGGATAAAGAGTCTCCTTCTAAGAAGCAAAGAAGAGAAGCCACACCGGAGATTGAGTTACCTACAGTCCTTATGGAAGGTGACTCTCCTTCCAAACAGTAACTCCCTCCCTCCCTCCTCCTCCCACTCCATTCCATCAAGCCATCAACTACCATCACAAAGGTAAATAAAACGACTTTATTATACAGTACAGTTTATTTCTTTAATTACAATACAA